ACTTACCTCATTATATTGTAAATGTAACATTGCTTGGAGTAAATATTTCTAATATTGTGGATATTATTGCCTATTATTTGTCCAAGTTCTAACAATTCAATGAATAATTTAAAAACCTTTTACTCTAGTGTCAGTTGAAGGTGACTTTTGATCCCCCTACTGCATGATAACCATTCAAACCACAAAAATGAATTGAAAATACATTGCTTATTTTATTACATATTAGATACAGTACAACCTCATTTGTCTTCTTTCCTCTTTGAGTCTTACTTTTTGACTATTTGCCATATAAGCTTTGAGAACTCTGCATTTTCTTCTAGTAAGAAATTTGTATGTCTGTGAAGTACATTGTATTAATAGAACTAGAATACTTTTTATAATAATTTAGTGGCTTCCAAACTTGCTACATGTTAGAATCACCTGGGGGGCTTTCAAAAATCTGAATGTCCAGGTCCAAGGCACACCCCAAATTAATTAAATCAGAATGCCTGGGGGGTAGGAGCCAGGTATCAGTATTTTTGAAAGAACCCAGGTGATTCCTGTTTTTAGCAAAGTTTGGGAGTCAATGCAGTAATACCTTATGAAATTTGATTAAGTGACAAGTCACTTATAGAGCCTTTCTTAAATCCTGATTGTTGTGTTTCAAGACCCATCATTTAAGGATCTTCTTTGGCCCTAAAAATTTAGAGATTAAATGGGACTATTAAACTGATGTTTATGTAGCTATAGAAGTTTTTGAACACTATATTGAATATTTAGTTTTTATTAACAGAAACAGTAGCATTGTCACTTAGTAGTTCATGTGGGTGTGTGCGTGTGTGTGTGTGTGTGTGTGTGTGTCTGTGTCTGTCTTGAGGCAGGGATGGGGCTGGGGAGTTTGGCACTCTGCCGTCTGTACAGAATCCCTCTTCTTCGTAATTCTCCTAGCCAAAAGCTTTATAAAATGTTGCATGCATGTGTTATCTACTTGAACTATAAAATCCAGTGGCTCCAAAAAATCAAAGAAGCAGGTTTTTTCTAACTCAGGACCCATTTCTGTTGAACTCTTTAATTTGCAGTGGTCAAACACTCAAATGTGTGCATGCTGTAGACACTGCAAATCAGTGAGAGGGGCCAGGTTGGACTCTACTCAGCTACAGTGAAGTTGTCATACCATTAGATTGTTAGATCTTAAAAAATTTTAAAGACAAAACAGGGAATCCCAAAATTTATGAGGAAGTTTATGATTTTAAAAAATGTTGGCAGCTAATTTAAAATATTAAAAGCATTGTGAGTACCAAAGAAATTAAATCTGCAGACCAAATTGAATCCATGTCCAATGTGTTACTTTTAGTTTGTAGACCGTAGTGATGGAGGACACCATGGCATCTTGCTGACTCGATGTCTGTACTATCTTATCTCAGTTGACATGTGGCCTGTTTTTTTTTCACTGATTCCAGGAAACTTCCCTTTTGCCCAGTCGAAAAAGATACATTTATTTATCATATTTTAATGTTTCTCCAGAGTCTTTTGGTATTTCATATTATATGACCCTCATGTTTATTTTATGAGGTAGGTAGGCTGGGTAGTCAGGCATGCAGATTGTCCTTCCTGGATTGTACAGCTGGTTGTTATAGAGGTGGTGTGAGACCCAGAAGACCCAGATTCTTGTCTCCCTCATCTTTTTACTGTGGATCTGTATACAGATTATTAATTTCAGCTCTTTATTCACCTTTGCTGTGATTCTGGGGAAAATTTAAGTCTTCATGTACTTTTTGGTGTTGGTTACCTGATTCTTTTGTAAATATGATTTTAACTTAGTAAAAAAAAATTTAACAGTGAAAAGTAATATAGCATAACTAAAGAATCAAAACTGTAGAATAGTGCCATGTATTCAGAAATGTTTGAAGGTTGAACAGTTTCATATATTTGAATTCTTCAGAAAAGGAAACTTAAAGTCCTAATATGTTTATGATTTTAACCATTTTTATTGAATTACTCTGAAATATTTTACATGCTTTTGTTTTTTGTTTAAACAGAATGACTTTGGTAGGTATGTTACCCACTAAATATGAGGTAATTTGAATATAAGAGAATATTCCATTTTACCGTAAGAAGATTCCCAGAATTCAATTTTATAAACTTTTGGGCATGTAGATGAAATAGTCAAATGAAACCATTATGTGTTTATATTATTTGAGTTATTCACATGCATATTTGAAATAACAAATATAAAATAATGGCTTAAGTTAGAAATATTACTCTTTAATCACTTTCACATTTTATGA